TGACCTCATTTGGAGTATGGCTGCTCAGAATCACTAAAAACCAGGCCCATTGTCTGTATGTGTTGCCAATGGGCAGAGGCGGATTACCATTTTGTGGGGCCGTGGGCTAGAGCAAGTGGAGGCCCCTCCCCACCCATTCCATCTGCAGTCGTCTCCACCTTCTTCCCCACATGCTCCTGCTGGGCCGTGGAGGCTTGCACTGCTCCGCCGGCCCGGCCCTCCTACGGGGGAAGCCCTCACACCCTGACCCACTCCCCTACAGAAGCACTGGGAAGGTGGAGTGGAGTAAAGGGGTGCCCACTTTTCTGGGGCCCCTGGGCACGTGTCCCATTGGCCTAGTGGTTAATCCACCACTGCCAATGGGCAACAAGACCAACTAATATCTAACTAATACCACTAAACTAGCACAGAGAAGCAGGCAGACACTGCAGGGATTCCATCTTGCTGGCATAGTCAATAAGAAGGAACTGAGGGATGATGGGACCCACTCTGCCCTTTATGCCCTCTGATAGGAGCGTGCCAGGCTATCTGGGCTATGTCTGCACTACATACCACTGGTGTCATCGTGCAGCATATGTCTAGCTACATGCTGCAGGTGAAAAGCAGGCTGGTTCCACACTGGGATGCATAGCTACACTTGCCAATGAAAGGCTCTGGCAGAAGGGATGCAGCTGGGAAACACTTCAGCAGCGCCTCACTCTGTTTGAGCCTTTCCCTGTTGCCTCCACCTACCATCAAAGCCAGAGTCTTTCCTGTGGAAAGAAAGGGCCTGAGCAGCAGGGAACTGCCAAAATCCTTCCCCACTCTGGATCCTTTTCCCCTGCCAGAGAGCAGCAGAGGAGGATTCCAGGGGCAGGGAGGTGGCAGAGCCTTTCCCTGTTGCCTCCCCCGACAGAGCTTTTCCCCATTGCAGGAGTCTTTACTTGCAAATTCAATAAAGACATTTTTCAGTGAAAGGTTTCTAACTGATGCACATTGATCCCGCAGTGAAATAACCACTCAAGCCCAAGGGGTAGTTAGAAGGGAACTTTGTGACAGAGAATCAGACCTGTTTTTTTCTGAGAAAGGTTCTAGCAGTGGGGAGGCAGTAAGACCTACACTGCTAATAAGAGCAGTGTAGACAGGGAGGCACAACTTTGGTGACTAGAGAACATGTAGGGTATGTATTCATCTACATACCCACACCCTTCAGACAAGACTTTTTTTGCCTAAACTGTGCCTCACCAGCTTCACTGCTAGCCTATTTATGCCTGTGCTAGGGGGACTTTGCAGGTATGTTCTCTATACTCTGCACGCTTCTTTCAGTGGTGTGGACATACCCCTAGCCTGCAGATGCAGCCCCAACCGACCCTATAGGCCAAAAGAATCTGATCTTGCACACACGGACTGCATGCACACCCAAAAGGAGTAGAATCCATGGGTACAATCACTCAAAGAATCAGTAGCTCAATACAGGAAGGCATGGTTATGGTGAAGGAAGAGTAGCTGGAGGAGCTACAGAGATGCAGCTCTGGAGACAGGAGTTTATGACTGACATACAGAACAGCTATTGCACCAGCAATGGCTTTGCAATCCCACTGCCCCATCCCCAGCCATTGTACCTCAGATAGGGTTGCCAACTTTCTAATCGCACAAAACCAAACACCCTAGCCCCATGCCTTCCCCGAGGCCCTGCCCCTGCTCACTACATTCCCCTCCTTTGGTGGCTCGCTGTCCCCCACCCTCACTCACTTTCATTGGGCTGGGGCAGCGGGTTGGGGTGCAGGAGGGGGTGAGGGCTCTGGGGTGGGGCTGGGGTGCAGGAGGGGGCTCCAGGCTGGGGGGGCGGGGCTGAGGGATTCGGAGTGTGGGAGAGGGCTGTGGGTTGAGGTGTGGGAGGGGGTGAAGGCTCGGGGCTGTGGGTGCGGGCTTTGGGGTGGGGCCGGGGATGAGGAGGGGGCTCTGGGTTTGGGGAGGGCTCGGGCTTATCTCGATCAGCTCCCGGTCAGCAGTGCAATAGGGCTAAGGCAGGCTCCCTGCCTGTCCTTGGACCACGCTGCGCCCTGGAAGCGGCTAGCAGCAGGTCCAGCTCCTAGTTGGGGAGCGGGCTGGGAGGGGGAAGATGGACAGGAGGTTCTGCGTGCTTCTTTTTCCCACAGGCACAGCTCCCCAGCTCCCATTAGCCGCAATTCCCTGCCTTAGCCCTGCAGCACTGCTGATCAGACTTTTAACAGCGCGGTCAGCAGTGCTGACCGGAGCCACCAGGGTCCCTTTTCTACCTGGCATTATGGTCAAAAACCAGACACCTGGAAGCCCTAACCTCAGACCTTTCCTGGAAGGATCAGGTCTAAGGATGAAAGGGTGTCTGTGGCCACTTAACCTCTCTGAAGAGAGCAACAAAGCTATTAATCAGTACCAGCTGTTGTGCTTTTTGTGAATTTTACCAAAAGAGACTAAATGGACAGAGTCTGCAAACCAGAGCTTGGAGTGTCAAATGCTTACAAAGTGTTCCTCTGAGCCAAGTAATTACATTCAAATTCTCTTTCTGTTGTATACTGGAAAACTGCTTTTCTTTTAGACTGAAGATATATTTACCACGAGATCTGCTCTTTATTCTGATTTCTCAATTCTCCAAAGCAAGAAACTGCAAAATTTCTCTTGGTTGTTAAAGATACTCCTCAAAAAAGATGTCTTTTCATAAACACAAGCAAAGCCAATTGATGATCACTCCCAAAGAAAACTCCCTGCAGTAGAACTGCAGTATTTTTACCAAGATGCTTTCTTGAGCAGTGCACATACTCTTAAGAGTTGCCCATTAGATTTGGCTGAATAATTCACTACACAAAATGTACTTGATAAATTATCTGTATGAGCCATTCATTGTGAGCACACAAAATTTAAAACGTGATAGGTCATGATAGGCTTCTTTTCCCCGACTGGGTGATCATAATTCTTAGTCCCCAGTTTCTGGTGAAATTACTTGTGATTATGAATCTGAAATTCACATTCTGCAATATTCTACAATGTTTGCTTTACAATTTCTAGTTTGGAATTCCTGACAAAATCAGTTCATAGAATATTTGTAGATGGCAAAACACAAAAAGGGGACAAACCAATCTAGGCCAATTCATAAAAAATAAAGTGAATGAAGAGTCTTAGAAAATGTGTTGCAGTGTTTGCTCGGTTCTGTTTCTCTTCCTTTTTTATTTCTATGGTGAAAATCAGCCTGTTACATTATTTACCAATTGAAAATTGCGGTTTCCTCTTTAAATGAAAAAATATTTCTATTTTTACTACTACTAAATGAAAACCTTAATCCAAAAGAACCAAACATACACCCCTAGCTTACATCACATTTGAAATCCAGAAAGAGTTAGATTTAAACAGTACTCTCAAACTTTCCAATAGATTTTTCATCTAGTCATCATGAACTAAAATACAAAAAAATTCAATAAAGACATTTTTCAGTGAAAGGTCTCTGACTAATGGACATTTATCCCCCAGTGAAATAACCAGTCAAACCCAAGGGGTAGTTAGAAGGGAACTTTGTGACAGAGAATCAGACCTGTTTTTTTCTGAGAAAGGCATCCCATCCCCAGGCCTTAACTCTCAAGAGATTATCATGGAGCAGACCCAGTATTGTTTTTGTTTTCATCAAGGAAGTGAAGGCAGTAGGAACCATACACAGCATTGTTTTATACTATAAAATAAAAGTCATTTCTCTGTAAATGACTTGATCCTAAATCATTTATGGGAACATCGTACAATAGAAATAAATCTAGCTATAAAATTATAATAGTACATTAAGTAATAATTCACCTCTTTAAGCAAGATGTAATGATGTACAAAGCTAATAGAAAGATAAAGGAGAGAGGGTAAATGAATCTAGTGGTTAGAGCAGGGAACTGGGAATCAGAGGTTTAGGTTCTATGTATGCACACTCTGTGCATGAGTTTCCCTACATGTAGCATGGATATAATAATATCAGAGGGGAAATGTAAGGTTTAACTAATTCATTTGTCCAGTGTGGTTTGAGATCCTTGGAGGAACTGCACTAAACAAGTGCATTTAAATACAAAAATGCCCTTCTACCTTGCAGATAGAGATCCAGTACAATATTTAAAAAAAGCTGCAGGAAATAAAAGAAATAACCATTGCAATAGATGGTGCCATTAAATCCTGTGATGAAAAACTTTGGGGTTTATGTGCCTTAGCATTAGAGAAGACAATTTGTTTTTAAAATATACTATCAAGAAATGGTGGAAACAAGATACATGCCCTGAATAATAATAATTAAAAAAAATCTATAACAGCAACTTTTGTAATGTCAGTGAATTTAATAATATTCATCTGGATTTCCATGAGCATGGTTGAAAGCAGAATTTGGTCCTTTTATACTGACGGATTTTCCACTGGGCAAATATACCGTAGATAATGGAGAATTATTCTCCTTTAAGCTCCAGACACAAAGCCCCTTAAATAAGAGGTCCTGTTCTAAAGTGACCAGAGCATATTTCAATTTAGATTATCTAGTGCAGACTACAAATCACCTACACGTTTTAGAAGTTGTGGTCAGCATACCCTGTATATATATAATTGTGAAAATGTACTGTTGTATTATTGACATCACCATTAAGTTTTCTGTACTTCTGGGACTGATGTTTTATCACTACACCTACTGATTTACTGATTAATCCAAAAATAATTTGGTCTGAGCCAAAGCCAAATGATGAAAATGAAAGTCTTTCCACTGACCTCAATGGGCTCTGGATCTGGCCCACAGAGATGATGAGGGTGTATTGGTAAGTATACTCTGTGGATAAAAATAATAGCTAATAACACTTTTACATTTATACTGCTAACTGTGAAGTACTTCACTCTGAGTATTCTTTGAGAAATAGATTTAAGTGACAGACGTTTTTGATCAGGATTGCATGTGAAATGAAGAAACAAGAACGAAGGTTTTGAATTCTTCACTCCCCTCTGATAGATTTTTTAAAAATTAGAAATGGTATACTTACGTCATAGCTTGATAAATATATTCAATTCCATAACGCATTGCAAATTCATCTACAATTTCTTGTGCAGCAGCATCAAAGTACACCTTCCAGGCTTCATCTCCTTTCACTTCAGGGATTTTTACAACACCATTAGATTTAACTTCAGTCAAGTAATGGAACAGGTTCTAAAGGTAAGAGTTTTTTTCAAATTAATAGGAAATTTCAATATCTATGTGGCATTATGTAAGAATATTCTATATTATAAAAAAATGAGTGTATTCATTAATTTCAAATGTTGTTTGCCTCTGCAATTACTAATACCAAACTAACCATCATTTGGAGAGGAAAGACTGAAGCTTTAAAAATACTTTTTTGAATGGAGCTCTGCCAATGCAGGCTAGTGATTCAACAACCTGATCTGTCTCCTTGACATAAGGTCATTTCAGTTAACCATTGCCGACAGAGACAATTCTAATGCTATACAAAATAGTGCAGGAACTTTCTCTTTTGTCTTATGTGCCCATGTTAATGAATTATATCATTATGTTATAATGCTCACTGAACTGTCCAGCAGCTTGAATTGATTTTTAACCAATGAATTTCAAGTTTCATGATTTAAAAATCCTGAGTTATAGGCAATTTGTAAAGAATACCTCAGCAATTACTCAAAGAACAAAGGGACATAGCAAAGATCAGGGTTTAGCAACCTTCACAGCAAGAGCTAGCATTTAATTTGCATTCAGTGACAGAATTTGTTCTTCTTTGATTGCCCTCCTTGCTTAGCTACAAACAAATCCAAAAAACAGGACTGTTGAATTCGGTTTCCTGGATATTTTCAATGAGAAAAGACGACCAACAATTTTACCTTTACACAACCATTTCTCTTTAGCCCATGAGCATGTAGAAGGTGATCCTGCACTATTGATGTTAATGGAGTTCCGCCATTCACTTCAAAGTGAAGCTGATCTGAGCCCTATACAACTTAGATACACACACTTGCATGAAAACAGGTGCTCAATGCAACTATACCTTAGAGACAATTTTGTAGATACCCTTTAGAGCTTTAGTACTGTACCTTTCATAGCACACCCTTACAAAGTCTATCTATTTTCTTGTGCTTTGGGGATAAAAATTAAATGGTGGGCCAGTTTGATGCAAACAGGATTTAACAGATACAGAGATGTTATCAAGTAGCTGCTGCTTTTATTTGTGATGAATTTTCTTTTAATTTATGTCAAAGGCTGCCTACTCTTGGTGCTGCTTGTTTCTCACCATCTTTCCCAGGAATTCTTCTGCCTGTCCTCATATGATTACATTTCTGGGACATTGCAGAACTATTGCACGGATATTAATGCTCATCTGCCCATGCTGCTGTACACTGTAAGGCACCCTTCAATGAATCAAAGGACGGGACAGACATAGATAACACAGATATTGTTCTCTGTTTACACAGAGAATGAAGAATCGTCCTCACTCTTCCACCCCCTATTTTGCATATTATCTATTCCCAATCACATCAAAGTCCTCATCAGGATCTAAAATTAGAAATACGCCACCCAAGTCAGTAGTTCAAATCTGAAAACAATACGGCATGAACGGGAAGAAAAAAAAGTAATATTTTATGGGATGTTTTCCTAATTCCATGTAAAACTCTGACAACACAATTTGATCCTGGACTTCTATTGTAGAGAAAGTCCAAATTAAACTAACCGGAAATCTGACTGAGAAAGAACTGACCAGTCAGGCCCCAGGAGGATAAATACTGCTCCCTATGGATTGCTATGGCCTGTGTGTCAACTATCCTAAACATTATATCACTGATTTCTCATGTCTCCCATGGATGATGTGGGAGCATATGTATTCTGGAGGGGTTTTTTTTGTGTGTGTGTGAGAGTGATAATTTAAAAATAAATAAATACAATCCTAGTATTCTTGATGACATTAACAAGCATGTGACTGGCATTTAAAATGTTGAGGGTAGAGAACTACAGAAGCAAAGCTTAGGAAGTCATGTGGCTATTTCACTTCTTTCTACTTTCTAACCATTTGGCAAGACCAATCTGCTGATGTAGTAGCATATCAGTCTCTCCTCCTTGGATACAGTGACTTTGAATTTGGTCATGAGATTCAATCACTAATACATATTTCAAGCATTTGAACTAAAACACCTGTTGCAGTGAAACTAAATGTATCACTGTTCTAGTCTTCATAGCCCTATATTCTCTATTTATCTAATTTCTATGGAGCAAAATGATCTTGTACATGAACAAACTCCGCCAACATACCTCATGTAAATATGTGTATTGCACATGGTATGGAGCAACTTTCTCCTCTCCTTTTATTTCAACGTTGATTTTCAACCTAATGGCACCAGAGACAGCTGATTTATCTGTTCGTTTTTCTGAAGAAACAGAAAAATAATTGTTAATTATTACCAAGAATACATTTTTGTCAAAACAGAGAAAAAATAACTGCAGTTCTAAAAATTGCTTTGGTCCAAATAATGTTTTCTATGCCCCCAAAGTCCAGCTGTTGAGCACAACATGTATTGATTTTCATACTTAGGAATTTCTAATATAATGTCATTCTTGATATCTTTGTAAACATGAGCTCCCGTATGGTCCAGGCTATGGAGCAGAATATTTTGCTGTGAAGTAAGAAATCTCCCATAATTTGTCACTCAAACAAACTCAAAATAGGTTGTACACAAACTTGTGTACTACTTTCTTTTGAAGGAAATGAGTTAATTCTCCTATTTCTTATTTACTATTTTATTATTATTGGTGCTTCCCCACGGGCATCTCCATCTTCAACATCCTCAAAGACATCCATGCCTGACGGGAAACTCCAAGTTCTGTGCATAGGTGTGATTCCTGAACTGGGGCTGAATCATACTGAAGAAAACATCTGGAGAACTTTGCATGAAGCCATCTATATTAGTCTATCTAGTTACTACTGCTCCTTGTGCGGACAGCTGTTCTTTGATTTCACCTATTATTATTCCAGCCCACTCTAGCAGAGCAATCTGACTGAACAAGCATTAAGACTTTTTTTTTAAAATAAATCTTCTGTACAGTGCTGTGCAATGAATCATGAATGAAGGGAATGGTATAAGGAGTAAGAATCTGGCATTCTTACTAATCCAATGCATTTCTTTTTTGAATCTTCCCCCCGCCCCGAAAAAGTGATGTGCGTGCACGTGGACTAAAATGACATATACCATCCTCCTTTTTAAGATATTACAATTAACAAGAGCCATCTATAAGGTTAATTGTAGAAGATAATTAAAAGCTTTGCAGTCTATGTTTTTTCTTTCTTCTCCAGTTATACAGTAAAGGTTATACAGTAAAGGTGTGTATTTTCAACATTAAATTGCTTCCAACCAAATCAGTTAAGCAACAATTTTTGAGGCATCAGTTTTATTAATTGAAAGACATTAAGGAAGTCTTTCAGGATGATAATGACTTGTTTAACTTATTAAAAACTACTCTGCATACAAATATAAAATAACACATGGCTAAAAGTTTTGTTTAATTTTCTGCAAAGAATCAAACATTTTTCTTTACATGACTGTATATTTCAATGGACAATGAAACTTGAAGGAGAACAGTGGAGAAATAAAGGTATTACATTGCGCGATGAAGATCTTTGCCGAGAAAACACGTGTTCCAACTTTGGCAAACTCCCTGTTACATAATTTACCTTTTGCAAAGCAGGCAATCTAGATAAAACATTGTTATCATATTTACATTATCAAACAAATAGAGGAGGTACAACCATAGTGGATACAAACTTGCTTTCAGAAAAAAACCAATATTGCATGCTTATCTTTAAGTTAGCTAAAATCTACTTGCAAACATTAATTATTTGAACAAATACAAATTGGCACATTGTATGTAATCATGGGCCTAATTCCCATCTCTGATACATGGGTATAAATTAGAAAAGAGCTCAATGATAACAGAATAGGACAAGTGAAATGTCAAAGGAGAATTATGCCCAGGACTTTACATAAACATATATTAAATGATAACATGGTTATTATTTGATATTCAGTAAGCAAATGCTTCTATATGTTTTTCTGTGGCTCTTTGTAGATTCATTTCATGTTCAATGAGGTGTGAATAAAGTGATCTGAAGTATTTATTTACACTATCCTGATAGCTGTAGAAAAACTCTCTCATTTTGAATTAAATCAAAAATTTGTCTTTTGGAGTAGGCATTGCTTTAATTGGACTGCTATTCAATCTTTAAATAAAGTTTTATTTCTCTTAAGTGTGACTCAGAAGTGAGATCTAATTCCACCTTGACCTGAACCTGGAATCCAAAACTGAGTATAATTTTATATATTAAGATGGAGGTTGGCGGAAGCCCCCGGGTAGATATTGATGAACATGGAATTACCCACACCGTACACTTTTATCTGCCGCGTAGTCCCAGGCATCTAATAGTAAAGTTGCAACCTGATTAAAATCATATCAGTGTCTCCTGTCCTTCTTTTGGTGTAGCCGGACAATTATTTCTCTAAAATACTCAAAAGTGAGATCTAATTTCACCCTTTTAAACCTGGAATTCAAAACAGAGTATAATTTTATATATTAAGGGGAGTATTATTTTCATACAACAAATAACAAACAAAATGACAAAGTTCACAACAGTATACATGTTGAGATTTTGCCTAAACTAATTTTAAGTAGTAATAGAAAATGATTAATACCTAAGTTGTACCATACATCCATTTCTCCGCTTAGTGTTCTCACTTCAATTATTGTTTGTCCCAGAAAGTCATCGGATTCCTTTTTGAAATGTTGCTTTACTCTAGATTTAATATCATCATCTTCATCCCAGACTCTTACTTTTATTCTGTCTGTGGAGTTATGGCATTCACTGTAAAACAACACACAACAAGATACAGGCCATGATACATTTTCCCAAACAGACTTGTGAATTACTAATTATTATTTATTAGTTATATTATTGTAGTGCCTAGGGACCCCAGTCATTGATCAATACTCCATTGTGCTAGGTACTGTTGAAACACAGAACAAAAAAGACAATCCCTGCTCCAAACTGCTCACAATATAAAACAAGAGGCAACAGATGGTAGGGAAGCAATTAAAAAGGCAGGGAAAACAAACAGCAGTAGCCTTCAAAACACACCTACTTTCTTGAGGTATGCCTTACTTTCTTCCATGGACACCTCACCACTGGTGAATATCCCTCTCTATGGGAAAAAGTCCAGGGCAGCTGCAGCCAGGGAAGACATTGGCAGAGAGGCTCCATTAGACCCACTTAGCCAAAGTGAAGGGCCAGAACCACCATAGGGGCCTGGAACTGTTGTGGATGCACAGTTTCCATGTGGATGTACATGGCCTCTCACGGACCTTCTGGGCACTGCAGAGATTCTGAGGAATCTGAGGGATATGGGGGAGGAGCAGGAGAGGAGGGAGGTGCCCCACAGTATATTACGTGAGAAAGGAGAGGCAGACTTCATACTGTCCTGATGCAATGACAGGACAGAAAACTCAGAGAGGGAACTTTGCAGAGATTTCCTCCCATCAGCTCCTATAATAAAGCCCATCAAGTTTACAGTTACTTATTTCTCTAACCACTAGCCAACTGTTGCTCAGTCTTGGCTTTTTAATGTCATCAGTAGGAATCCTCAGGTATAGAAGTCTGCAGAACCATGATCAAGCTGCAGTGTCAGGTTATAGGCAAGCTCACTTTTAGGACACTCTAGCTAGACTGATGCTTGCTTTCCATTATTTGTAGAAGCAACTACGTTATTTCAGAGCTAAATCATTCCGTAATTCTACAAAATAGTTTTAAAATGTTACCTTAGTTTTAGTTAACCTGCAAAAAGGGTCTTAATTCAATAATAAGCCTGTATCTTTAGCATGGTCTGCTGGAGTAGGCATGAGAATGGTTGCAGATTTGTAGTTTGAGTTCCAATCCCAGCTCTACCATTAATTGACAGTGTGTCAGTATTGACAGTTTCTCCAGTATTAATATGTGTGACGTTCTCCTGGTGTTATCTGGACTGGTGATCTGCTAGGTCACTCCAATCCTAGACTCTGGAAGCCAGCCTTACCCTGCTCTGCTGTGAGAACCCCCACTCCTGGGATGTTCCTGCACAGCCTCTGGCATGTAAGCTGCTCCCAGCTACGTTAGTGGGCACTTTTGGCCACCTGCTGCTTTGATTGTGAAACTGAATGACACTAGCCAATATCTCCGGTCCCAGACACAACCCTGGGAACCTCCATCTTGCAGTGTCCAGTTATGCCTGCTGGGCGCTGCAAGCCTATATGAGCTTGTCAATTTAACAGACATTTATATGCACCAGGTTTGTTATCCCAAGGGGAGTCTCTGACATGCTTCAAATCAAACGCACTGCTTCAGGTAGAATAAACAAATTTATTAACTACAAAGACAGATTTTAAGTGATTATAAGTCAAAACACAAGAAGTCAGATTTGTTCAAATGAAATAAGAGCAAAACGTATTCTAAGCTGATCGTAACACTTTCAGTGCCCTTATAAACTTAGATGCTTCTCACCACAGGCAGGCAGGTTGCCCTTCAGCCAGGCTCTTCCCTTTGATCAGAGCTTCAGTCGCTTGGTGGTGATGTCTGTAGATGGAGGTGGAAGAGAGGAAGACCATGGCAAACGTCTCTCCCTTTTATCATGTTCTTTCTTCCCTCCTGGCTTTGCCCCCTCTCCTTCAGGGTCAGGTGAGCATTACCTCATCGTAGTCCCTGACTGACCAAGGGAATGGAGGTGACTCACTCAAGAGTCCAACAGATCCTTTGTTGCTGCCTAGGCCAGTGTCCTGTGAGGCTGGACTAGGTCTGTCCCATACATGCCCTGATGAGATGTGAACTGCCCCCCTGTTCCTGGAGAGATTTGCCTGGGGTTGTTTTAAGCCATGAGGACACATTTTCAGTCTCATAACTATATACATGAAATTACAACCTATAACATTACTATAACAACAATTACTATAACATTACTATAACAACAATGCTCAGTGCATCATGAGCCTTCCGAAGACGCCCAACATGACAAACTTTGCATTGGACACCACACATTGATTTTATAAGGATGAATATGGGGGTGCAGGGTGTTCCCCCGAGATATAGAGCATATGAGTACTTGCCTTCCAACTGGCATTTGACAAGGGTGTAAGGTGTTCCCCCGAGGTACAGAGTGTCACACCTCCCCACTTAGGTTACTGCAAGAGGATTAGTCACTCACCAGCTCGCAGGCCGTTTGTGTTATAGTTCTCTTGGCACCCAGCCATCAAGGCCATGAGGTGGTGTGCCTCAGTTTCCCCATTCACACACAGCAAACCAGGTTTGTTATGGTTTCTCTGGTGTGGTCAGCTTTAAATCGGTTTACTGGTATTAACTGAGAACTAGTGTTACCATAAGGTTTAACATCAGTAACAAAATTCTTATCCCAAAATTTAACATTAATACCAAATTTCTTTTATCACAGATGGGTGTTTACAAGTATCTTTATTAAACCAAACCCTCCGTTCAGTTAGTTTAGTTTGAGGTTAGTTTGTTCATTACCCATGGTGTCCTTTGACTCTCTCCACGTAATCAGTCACTGGCTTTTCTTTCCCTCCAGTGTTCCCCTCTGTGTGGGCTCTTAATTTAATCATGTTTCTGGAATTTTGGTATCTCAGGGTCTGGCAAGATAAGGGTCCATGGGGATCCTGCACATTGGCTGGTCCTTTGGGGAGCGGTCTCCCAACCCCAGGACTGTATATATACAGAAAAAAACAGCTCCCTTTTGGGGGTTACTCGGTGTTTCCCCCTCTCAGTACTGACTCCTTCCTTGCCCCCCAGAGGGCTGTGATGAGTGCTCTCTGCGCTAGGCGTGTTTACCCTTTGATCATATTCACCTTTTCCCAGCAGTTTTTCCATAACTGCTCTCTGTGTCTCACCAGCCTGGGGGAAAACCCAATCAGTTGGGTCGTCTGTATTCTGACAGACGACCACCTGGCAATTTCCTGGTCCCAACTCCTCTGTTATCACAGGCATTGGAGCTGCATCAGTTAAATTTTGCAATCAGGGTAGGAACATTAAATCCCTGATGATAAGAGGGTATTACACACAGCCTTTCAAAGGTAGTCAGATATTCAGCAATAATCCTCCTCATTGTGTGCAGGACATAAGTGTTCCCACTTGTGCATTTTTGGAGTGATGAGAGTCTTTGGGGTCTGGGGCCTTTGGTTCTGCTTCTTTAGCAAGTCCGGCTGGTATTTTCTCTCTCTCTCTTTTTCTTCCATAGCCCTTCTGTATACAGCCTCCTCTTCTTTGAGCCTCGTTTCTGCCTGCTACATTTGAAACTCGTGGTACTTTTCCTTCTCTGCCACTTCCAGCTGGGCCAGCTCTAGTTTTGTAGCTGCCTCACTGGTAGTCATCTTCCTGCTTTCTTGGGCTTATTTCCCTCACCCGAAATAAACAAAGAGAAAATAACAAAACTGTGACCACCTCCTGTGACTGTGACTGTTCCTAGCCACTGCACTTAAGACTCACTTAAAATCACAAATATCACTGCTTAAAGTGTGAACTCCACTTGGAGTAACAAGCTGCACATACACCCTGCTCCGCTGTGCCACTGTGACATTCCTCACCCCATTTCCCCCCATTTCCCCCAGATTCTGCTCCCTCCTGTTCCTATCAGTGAAGTATCCAGCCTAGCAATGCATTTTAATTAATAAGGCTAATAAAGCATTTCAGCTAACATCTGCATGTGAAAGCCAGCATGATCAGTGGTTTACATCTGACCGATATAACCAAAATATCATCACTCCTCTTGTAGCTGCATTCAAGGATTAATTTAATTGGGGTAAGAAAAGGAAGATAAAACATTGTGTGGTTATTTTAGTGCTTGATCTGTGTGGCTGAGTAGTTAAAATGTCTATTTGTCTAAACAGTGAATGTAAAAAGCCTGAAGAATATTTCCTCGTTGGTTGCTCTAAGGAACTACATCATAACTGGTGTGATAAGAGAAGTGCTTTTCAAATTATATGGTAGCTTGTGGTAAATCTAAGTCAATGAATAAACAAAACCAGTTTACTCTAGATTGTATTTCAGTATGCATTAATTATCTGCTCTCTTTTTCTGAAGAAAGCCAACATAGTTCCTTGAGCATGGCCATCCAACTAATTAGACCGTGCAATTTAAAATCATAGGGCCCAATCCTGAGGGTAACCATTAAGATGTGTTGGCCTCAGCATGACTTTTCATGTGAGAAAAGTGACTTATATGTGTAAGAGTCTGCAGGACTGGATCCTGGTGAAGTAACTAAACTGCGAGTTAAGGCATTCTCCAACTTTAAGTCCTACAATAAGGTAGCTTGCAATGGCAAATGAAAGATCTTTCCTTCTCTCTCTGCATTTTTCAAGGACTCCATTTTTTGCTTGGTGTCAAGAGTTTGGTATTGAATTAAGAAAGTATTACAGTTCTATATACTTTGGTTTGATACTCATAGAGATGGATTAAATACCCCAGGAGGATCACGTGAGCTGGTGTAAAGGCTCATACACCTCCATGCCGCGGCTGGTGTAGCAGGGGAAAGGTGGCATGCCAGAGGAAAGGGAACATGACCGTGACATTCCTATGTGACACCGATCCTCATGTAGTTTTGGATCCCTTGGAGCTTTTTGCAGCTAGCATAACTAAGAACAACACTGAGGGTGCTCTTGAAGCTGGGGGACCAGCCTTGAACTCAGCTTCAGGGGAGTGCAACTATGATCTATCCACTGGGTGCAATTTTGGTGGGACACGAGGATCAGGTCCCTGTTTATTTGACCTCCCACTTGGTAAGACAACTCCCATCCTTTCATGTGCTGTGTATTTATACCCGCTACTGTATT